ATGGGAGACGGGTCAAAAACCCCCCCGGGCCGCGTGACCACGCCCGGGGGGTTTTATAGTTTTTTTTAAAAAATATATATAAATATAATTATAATTTTATAAATATATAAAAAATTTTTTATATATATATATTATTTTAAAATATATATATATTAAAAAAATATTATTATTTATATATAATATTTTATATATATATAATTAATATAATATAATAATATATATTATATATATATTTTTTTTTTTTTTTGTTTTTTTTTGTTTTTAAAATTTTATTTTTTGGTGTAAATTTTAAAAAAGTTTTAATCCGCCCCTTTTTCCCTTTTTTTTTCCCCCCCTTCCTCCCTTTTCCCCCCTCCCGCCCCAAACCCCCCCTCCAAGGGGTCCAGTCCCTTTTAAATCCCGTTGATTTTTTTTGTTGTTTCCTTTTTGGGGGGTTTTTTTTTGTTTTTGTTTTTTTTGGGGGGTGGGTTTTTTGTTTTTGTTTTGGGGGTGGTGGTGGTGTGGTTGGTGGTTTTGGTTTTTGGGTTTTTGGGGTGGTGGTTGGTGTTTTGGGGGTGGTGGGGGTGGTGTTTTGGTTTTTTGGGGGGTGGGGGTGGTGGGTTTGGGGGTGGTGGTTGGTGGGGGTGGTGGGGGTATGTTGGGGGGGGTTTGGGGAGGTGGTGGTGGTTGGGGGTGGTGGTTGTTGGGGTGGTGGTGGGTTGGTGGGTTGGTGTGGGGGGGTGGTTTTGGTGGTGGTTGGGGTTGGTGGTAAGGTGGTGGGGTGGGGTGGTTGGTTTGGTTTTGGTGAAGGTTTGGGGGTGGTGGTTGGTGTGTGGTGGGTGAGGTTGGGGGTGGTGGTGGGTTGGTGATGGGGGGTGGGGTTTGGGGGGTGGTTGGGGTTGTTTGGGGAAAGGTTGGGTGGGGGTGTGGGGGTGGTTGGTGGTGGTGGTTGTTGGTGAAGGTTTGGGGTGGGGTTGGGGGAGGTGGTGAGGTTTGGTGGGGGGGTTTTGGGTTTGGGGGGTGGGGTTGGGGGTTGTTGGGGATGGTTTGGTGGTGGTTGTTGGTGTTTTGGTTTATGTTTGGTGGTGGGTTTTTGGGGATGGGGGTGAGGTGGTGGTTTGGGTTTGTTTGGGGATGGGGGTGTTGGTTGGGGTGGTGGGTGGTGGTGATGGTGGGGATGGTTGGGGGTGTGGGTTGTTGGGAGGGGGGAAGGGTTTGGTTTGGGTGGTGGGTTTTTTGGTGGTTTTTTTTTTTTTTTTGTTTGGGGGGATTTTTGGGTTTGGGTGGGGGTTGGTTGGGGGGGGGGGGGGGTGTGTGGGTTTGGGTTGGGGGGGGGGGGGGGGGGGGGGGGGGGGGGGGGGGTTGGGTGGGGGGGGGTGGTGGGGGTTTGGGGGGGGGGGAGGGGGGGGGGGGGGGGGGTGGGGTGGGGGTTTTTGGGGGGGGACTGGGGGGTATGGGGGGGGGGGGGTGGGGGGTGTGGGGTGGATGGGGGGGATGTAGGTGGTGGTATGGTGGTGTTTTTGGGGTGGTGTGGTTGATGGGTGTTGTTGTGGGGGGACAGGGTGGTGGGGGTGGTGTTTTGGGGTGGGGGGTGGTGGTGTGTAGGGGTTTGGAGTGGGGGTGCTGTGGGGGATGGGGAGGGAGGTTGGGGAGGCGGTGTAGTGGTGGTTGGTGGGGATGTGGTGTGGTGTGGTGGGTGTGGTGGTGGAGTGGTGGGTGTGTAGGTGGTGGTTGGTGGTGTGTGGGGTGGTTGGTGGTGATGAGGTGGTGGGGGTGGTGTGATGTAGGTGGTGGGTTTTGGGGGGATGTGGTGGTGGTGTGGTGGTGATGGGGGGGAGTTGGTGTGTTTGGGGGATGGGGTGACTGGTGGTGTGTGGTGGGGGTGGGGGGTTTGGTGGGGGTGTGGTGTGTTGGGTGGTTATGGTGGGTTGTAGGGGTGGTGTGGGGGGGTGTTGGGGGGGGGTGGGGTTTTGCCGGTTTGGTATGGGGGTGAGCTAGGGGTGGAGGGTTGGCGGGTTAGTGGGGTTTGCAAGTGGGAGTGGTGGTGACATTGGGGTTTGGGGGAGTTTTGGTGGTGAAGTGTGGTGGGTGCTATGGTGGAGTGGGTGATGAGGGGTGGTATGTGGGATGCTAGGTTGGAGGGTGTGGCTAGGGGGTGGTTAGTGGTGGGATGCTATGGTGGGGAGTGGGGGTGATGTAGTGGTGGTAGTGGTGGGGATGCTAGGGGGTGGAGTGGTGGTGATCGGGTGGGGTAGTGGTGTATCCTAGGTGGTATGGGGGTGATGCTAGTGGGGGTAGTGGTGTGTGCTAGGGGTGGGAGTGGGGGTGATCCCAGTTGGTGGGTGGTGATGCTACGTGGTGGTATTGGGGGTGTGCTAGGTGGTGGTAGTGGTGGTATGCTAGGTGGTAGTGTGGGGATGCTAGGTGGGGGAGTGGGGGTGATTTCTACGTGTGTATGGTTTGGGGAGGGTTTGGGGGGATGTGGTGGGGGTGTGGGGTGATCCCGGTGGTGGTATGGTGTGATCCGGGTGGTAGTGGGGGGATGCGTGGGGGTATGGGGTGATGCTAGGGGGGGTAGTGGGGGTGATGCTAGGGGGTGTGTGGGGGTGATGCTACGTGGTGGTAGGGTGTGATGCTAGGGGGTGGTATGGTGGTGATGTGGTGGTGGTAGTGGTTGGTAGTAGTGGTGGTAGTAGTGGTGGTAGTGGTGGTGTTAGTAGTGGTGGTAGTAGTGGTGGTGTAGTGGTGGTTGTAGTGGTGGTGATAGTGGTGGTGGTAGTAGTGGTGGTGGTAGTGGTGGTGGTAGTGGTGGTAGTGGTGGTGGTAGTAGTGGTGGTAGTGGTGGTGGTAGTGGTGGTAGTGGTGGTGTGTAGTGGTGGTTGTGGTGGTGGTAGTAGTGGTGGTGGTAGTGGTGGTAGTAGTGGTGGTAGTAGTAGTGGTGGTAGTAGTGGTGGTGGTAGTGGTGGTGGTAGTAGTGGTGGTAGTAGTGGTGGTAGGTGGTGGTGGTAGTTGGTGGTGGTAGTAGTGGTGGTAGTGGTGGTAGTAGTGGTGGTGTGGTGGTGGTAGTAGTGGTGGTGGTAGTGGTGGTAGTGGTGGTGTTAGTAGTGGTGGTGGTTAGTGGTGGTAGTAGTGGTGGTAGTAGTAGTGTGGTGGTTAGTAGGGGTGGTGGAGTGGTGGTAGTTAGGGTGGTGGTAGTAGTGGTGGTAGTGGTGGTGGTATGTAGTGGTGGTAGTAGTAGTGGTTAGTAGTGGTGGTGGTAGTGGTTGGTGGTAGTAGTGGTGGTAGTAGTGGTGGTGGTGGTAGTAGTGGTGGTGGTAGTAGTGGTGGTAGTAGTGGTGGTAGTGGTGGTGGTAGTAGTGGTGGTAGTAGTGGTGGTTAGTAGTGGTGGTAGTGGTGGTAGTAGTGGTGGTAGTAGTGGTGGTAGTAGTGGTGGTTTTAGTGGTGGTGGTTAGTGGTGGTAGTTAGTGGTGGTGGTAGTGGTGGTAGTAGTGGTGGTAGTAGTGGTGGTAGTAGTGGTGGTAGTAGTGGTGGTGGTAGTGGTGGTAGTGGTGGTGGTAGTGATGGTAGTGGTGGTAGTAGTGGTGGTAGTGGTGGTAGTGGTGGTGGTGGTAGTGGTAAACAAGACACAAACACACAAGAAAAACACTCTTCGTAACCCAATTTTTTTTTTTTGGTAGTGGGAGAGGGGAAGGAGGGGAGGACACAGCTCTCGGTTCCCCCTCACCCCTCCACTTCCCCCTCACCCCCCCCACTTCCCGACGTGCAGGGGAGGGGGGAAAATAACAAGCATCATAAACCGTGAAAAAGGTGGGCGCTTGAAGACAAGGTGGGCTGGTAGTGGACCAGAGGACCCACTGCAACACTCCTTTCTCTGCAGCCTCATTTTCTCCATTTTCCTCCTTTTTCTTTCAGGTTTTAGCAGAGAGACGGGATCCTCGTCTTCCTCCTACAAGGGCCAAATACAATCTTCTACCTATTATTGTAAGCTGATCCTCTCCTTAATGTTAATGTAAGTAACTCTGTTTACCTTATTCCTTGTATATCCTGTTATTTTAACTGTTTTGTACATAGCTGAGTTACACAGCTGTTTTAGCTTTTAAAGTTTAAGATATTACAAGGGGTCACAGTGGAAATAATTCTTCACTTCCTTCACACATGCGGGTAGCAGTAACAGCCTGATTGATCAGGCCCTGAACCCCCGGGAGGCCTGGTCAAGGACTGGTCCGCAGGGGCTTTGACCCCTGGAATACCCTCCAGGTATACTCACCTGCAGTTACAGTGCCACTACATTCACCTCACTCACCTGCAGAGTGCCAATCACTTCACCTCACTCACCTGCAGAGTGCCAGTCACTTCACCTCACTCACCTGCAGAGTGCCAGTCACTTCACCTCACTCACCTGCAGAGTGCCAGTCACTTCAGCTTACCTGTCAGTTGGCACTAGCAACGCGCAATGTTGCGGAAGCCTCTGATGAAATTACCATTGGTAGTTCGTCAAGGAAATTACCTGTCTCTGAATACTGCCATGAGATGAGTCATTCAGCAGTGCCGGCACTATGGTGAAAGTGGGGCTGCCCATGACACCATGGTAGGCCATGGATACAGTGACCACACTGGCTTACCGTGCTGCAACACTGTGTTGAAACAACATTTTGAAACACACGGGGAGTAGCTCTCTCACTCCAAACACACACACACACACACCTGACACACTAGGAGAAGCTCTCTCACTTCACACACACACACACACACACACACACACCTGACACACTAGAAGCTCTCTCATTCCACCCACACATACCTGACACACTTGGGGAAGCTCTCACTCCATACTCACACACCTGACAAACCAGGTGTAAGTATGGAAAATATCAGCCACACTACCTCAAATCCACAGTCCGTTCAGAACAGGAAAGATGATAACCAGATATCTTGGGTATCGTATAAAAAGATAGCCAGGGAAGGGTTCCAACACTTGGGTATCGTCAGAAAAAGGGTAAACAGGGAAGGGTTCAGCTTAC